ACTTTAACATTGTTCTTCAGTGTCTATGGAACTGTTTTTAAAAATGAGTGGTGGTTTCTCCTTTTACTTCTACTGATCAGGGAGCTGAGATAGCATAGTAAGTAGTCATTTTCCAGGCTTATTTTACCAGAGCATAATGTTATTATGCAAATGTTCTATATAAGCACATGGAATTGTGGTTGGTCTGTTCCTATGTTTTCATACATGTATTTAATGCCTGAATCATGTCAGTTCAACCAAGACAGGCAACAGGATAGAATGTTTTAGAGCACTTCACTTCCAGCCTATCCTTTGAGAGGAAAACATGCTCAGTTAAATCTCTCAGAATCTCCAAATACGTTTTACAAGACGTTCTGTGCTACCACTGGCATTTTATCAAGCTTGGTATTGTGTAAGATGACAGCATAATTCCTTTGAGAGGAAAACATGCTCAGTTAAGTCTCTCAGAATCTCCAAATAGGTTTTACAAGACTTTCTGTGCTACCACTGGCATTTTTTCAAGCTTAGTATTGTGTAAGATGACAGCATAATAATTTAATAGAAGCAGAGTTTTCAAGTTTAATGTGTAAAAGTTGTCTGTGTTTCTTGTTTTCTGAGCTGGGCAGCATCAAAACAGATTATTTCTGGTATGACAATTTGTTCCAGAAATTAAGGAATTTATATTAGTCCTCAACAGTCCTACACTGATGAATTGGAGCAGAAACTTTTATTTTAAGGTGGTGTTCCACAAATTCAAGATGTAAGTAATCCATAAGCAATGATGTGTTGCTGGAGAAGTTGCATAATACATAAACACAGGCACTTGTGGGGTTTTTTTTCCACAAAAGAGGGCAGTTTTTTAGGTTGTTCACTTTTCATGACTAATTAGTAGCTGCAATGATGTAGCCATGTTTAAAAACATGAAGTAATTTAGAGTTGCTACTCCCCACTTTCTGTATTATTACATTAGCACATGCAAAATACACTTAAATTCCATCAGTGTGTAACGAAACTAACTTCTCGTTGTAGCACTGCTCTGATACTTAAGATAAATTATATGAGGGGAACAAAAGCACTCATACAAAGCACTCCAGAGAAATGGAGGCCTGGCTTGGTAACATAGTTTGTTTTGTTTTTGTCAGGAGAATCCAAGTATCTTTGCTCCATCTGCGGAAAATCTTTCCACAGGGCATCAGGGCTCAGTAAACACATAAAGAAGCACCAGCCAAAGCCTGAAGTTCGTGGATATCAGTGTACTCAGTGAGTTGGGTGGTAGGGTTCTTGGGTGGGCTTTTTTTCTTAACATTAATGATCCTGGTCATTTTTAAGAGTAAAAGCAGCTCCTTGTTGTCGCATAAGACTTTTTCACTGGTCTGGAATAAGACTTTAAAAGCATAGTAGTAAAAAATACAATTTTGTAAATATTTGTGTTGGAGAGCTAAACCTTGGGTTTTTTTAGCTGTTACCTAGCTCTGATTTCTTACAGTTGTTCTCTGATGAGTGTTTGCAGTGTAACCAGTGCTGTAATCTGTAGCTAGGTGGTTTTACAGCTCCTTTGTAGGACAGATAAGAAAGGCTGTCAGAGGCCAAGGGCCTTCAGCCTGGTTTTGCCTTTGTTCATTGTGGTAGTTGGTTTCAGTTGAATTTGAAACCTTCCTATGTAGTCTACAATCCTGTACTTGTGTGCATTGCAACACTCACTGTGTTTAGTAAACAGCTCTGCAGGAACATCCTGAATTAAGACTCACTGACTGTTGCAATTAACTTGATCATAAAACTTATATGACCCCAATAAACATCTTTGCATTGTGAACTTTAGTTTAGCAGAAACTGTAACTGGAAAGAGCATCTCCTAGTGGGTTGGCGAAGCATGGATACTTTTTCCATGGCCAGGTAGACTATGGGAGAACCTTTCAAGTCACCTGCAGAAGGACAAATAATGCTTAATTTTGGAGCTCTCAGTTAGGTCCTTGGAAAGCTCTGTCAGGTATTAAGAGTTGTACAACTCCTGTAGGATTGGCTGTATGCAACTAAAGGTTTTAATGAAAGCAATGATCTGAAGTATTGTTTAAAGTATCTCTGGTAGTGGTGCTGTGTGCTAGCAAAAATAATATTTTCTAACTGCCGAAAACTTACTTTAATTCTGTCAGCAATGTTCTTATTTAGTGCATTGTAATGCTAAAAGTACTACTCCTACAAATATGAAGAACAGAGTTAACAGAGTCCACAAACACTGTTTCATGAAACATGCTAGGGAAGGCAATTTGGTTTTGAAAATGAAATACGTTTTGAAAAAAAATTCTTTGCTCAAGGCAGTGCAGTCATGGATGCAAAAGATCACCTTGACGGAGAAGGTACTTTGATTCCCCAGCTCCTTCAGAACAGGCACAGTCCTTGCTGTTTCTGCAGCGAAGATAATACGACTGCTATATAGAATACTGAGTAAGGATGTAATTGATGTAGTCACAAATAGTTTAGAGAGCTTCACTAAGCAATAACCAGGCTTCAGTTTTTTTAGTTTGATGGCTTGGAATGTAAATCTCTCTGCCAGACTTCAGTTTCGACTTCTGGCCCAGCTGGGCAAAGCTGAACATAAGTTATATTCCTAAAATGTTTGTGGAAGCTTTCCAGTGACGTATGTGTTTGATTAAATTGCAACAGACAAAACAGACAGAAGTGTTTCAGTGGTCCTCAGGTTTTATTCCAGGCTTTCAAATAAGCTGCTGTTCTTTTAAATTTCCCTGGTTTGGAAAGGGTTTGTGCTTTATCTACTGATGATGCAGTAGGTGTTCTCAGTCCTCAGTTGCCAGTAAAGAAGAGTGTCCCTGTGCCTTTGAAATCAGTGCCTGTCTTATATGTGATGCTAAAACATTTACTGTTACAGGTGTGAAAAGAGTTTCTATGAAGCTCGAGATCTTCGGCAGCATATGAATAAACACTTAGGTGTGAAGCCATTTCAGTGTCAGTTCTGTGGAAAATGTTACAGCTGGAAGAAAGACTGGTATTCTCATGTAAAGTCTCATTCTGTCACAGACCCTTATAGGTAAGAGGAAATCAATTTAACAACTGAAATGTACTAATCAAAGTGAGATTGTACAGATCTCCAGCCAGTCAACGAGGAACTGCTCAGTCCACTGTTAAAGTATGGATTGGTTGAGGTTGTCTGAGGTCTTTGAGTACCTGAGAATGAGTGGGTGACTTTAACCTGCTGACACAGTTCTGGAACGAGTACATATGAAGTTGTAAGAGGGTAACTGTAGTAGATACTTTGTATGTGATCTCCCTTCTCTAGAGGGGTAAGTGGATAAGAAAAATGAAGTTGTAAGAGGGTAACTGTAGTAGATACTTTGTATGTGATCTCCCTTCTCTAGAGGGGTAAGTGGAAGCTTGGTGGATAAGAAATATTGGAGCTCAGTCCAACAATATTACATCTAATTATGGAATCACTTGTCATATGAGACAGTATTGCCATTGAACTTTGCCTACCATAATTAAAGTGCACTTTGATAGAAAAAAACATAAGTGTACAATAATGGTTTTAATAGATTTCTCAATGCCTTTTAGGTGTAATGTATGTGGTAAAGAGTTTTATGAGAAAGCTTTGTATAGAAGACATGTAAAGAAAGCCACACATGGTAAAAAAGGAAGAGCAAAACAAAATCTGGAACGAGTTTGTGAGCATTGTGGAAGGAAATTCACCCAACTCCGGGAATATAGGAGACACATGAATAATCACGAAGGTATGTAGAAAACAAGTAGTCACAATATCCCTCAACCCCTAAAAACATTGTGGAGAAAGGGTAAATTGTTTCTTTGAGTCTGTGTATGTCCTGTGTGGCAAGACATGGAGTTCTTACAGGTTCTCCAGTTATTTTTATGCTAATCCTGGTTTGGTGACTTCTTCCAGTGATTGTAGAATCAACCGGGTTGGAAGAGACTTCAAGGATCATCGAGTCCAACCCTACTGTGGTTATTAGACCCTGGCACTAAGTGCCACATCCAGTCTCATCCAGAAAACCTCCAGGGATGGTGAATCCACCACCTCTCTGGGCAGCACATTCCAATGCCTGATCACTCTCTCCGTGAAAAATCCCTTCCTAATATCCAACCTAAACCTCCCCTGGCAGAGCTTGAGTCTGTGCCCTCTTGTCCTGCTGCTGGTTGCCTGGGAGAAGAGACCAACCCCCACCTGACTCCAACCTCCTGTCAGGGAGTTGTAGAGGGTGATAAGGTCTCCCCTGAGCCTCCTCTTCCCCAGGCTAAACAACCCCAGCTCCCTCAGCCTCTCCTCATAGCACTTGTGCTCGAGTCCCTTCACCAGCCTCGTTGCTCTTCTCTGGACTTGCTCCAGCACTTCTATATCCTTCCTGAACTGAGGGGCCCAGAAGTAGTTGTTGGGATCTTCCTAAACTCCAGTCATACACAGGGACAGTGCCAATTTGACCTTTGCAGAACTTTAATGGAAGAGGAACCTTTTTTTTCCCAAGTGATTAAAAGGTGTAAATCTGGCAAATAATTGGATGTAGTAAAATATTCTCCAGTTTGAAAGGTGCACATGGTTAACAAAATATTCTTCACATAGGAGAATGATGGGCCTGAATTTAAAAAAAAAAAAAAAACGAATGTTGGAAATTGGTCAATCAGGTTTATAACAAGCACTAAACTCTATGATGTTTGGGGAAAATATGAAAACATGAAAAGATACATAATATGCACAACAAAGTATGTGCATTTTATTTTTGATGTGAAGCATGAAATTTGATTTTTGAGTATGGTTGTTCCAGCTTTGTTGAGAGTCTATATATTAAAAATCCATTATTTTGAAGCATATCTTCTTTCAAAGAGGGGTAAATCTAGTAGCTGTCTAACCATTGAAATAGAGATTTTGTGTTTGTTTCTAAACTAAGCATCCTGTAATAGGCACCTAGCCTAAATCTACAGTAACTGTTACAGAGGAGAAACCAGTCAGTGTTGAGATGGAGTTGGTCACCACAGACATGCTACATTAGATATTACAGACCACAGAACTCAGATGTTTTGGGGGAGAGTAAGATTATACAAACATCAGGTGCAGCATTTGAACATACTCAGTGTGGCAGAGGAGGAGAAAAGCTGTAGGTTTACAGAAGGATTTACACAAACAAAGGGTGACTAGAAATGTAAGTGATGAAAAACTAGACTTCGGAAAGGCGTCACCAGCAAAAAAAAATAATTAGAATTCCATTAAACTGTGTGCCCTTAAAATGGGGAAGAAACTGCATTAAAAGCAGTCTTGAAAGGTTGTTTTTGAAAGTAAAGTGTTAGGTTGGGCAGACCTCTTGTGGAAAGTGTTACCATTGAATGTGTTATGCTTGCATGATGTTATAGTAGAAACGGTAAACAAGATCTCCCTTACATGGCAGAAGTTCCAGTGTTTCTTTTGTTCTTTCATGTTGCTGTTCTCCCTGTTGTTCTCATCATTGCTCATGCATGTTTATGAACTCTGGCACTCATCTTTTCCTTGCTTTCCCTCTGGGAACAGGTGTGAAGCCATTTGAATGTCTGACTTGCGGTGTGGCCTGGGCCGACGCGCGTTCCCTGAAGCGCCACGTGAGGACACACACCGGAGAGCGACCCTACGTGTGCCCAGTGTGCAACGAGGGCTACATCGATGCCCGCACGCTGCGCAAGCACATGACCAAGTTGCACAGGGACTACATACCCTGCAAAATAATGCTGGAAAAAGATACTCTCCAGTTTCACAACCAGGGGACACAGGTGGAGCATGCCATCAGCATTTTAGCGGCAGACATGCAGGAACAAGAGACCGAGATTAGCTTTGAAAATGCTGGTGAGGGTGAGACTGTGGTAGTGACAGGAGACACGCTGGAAGCCATTGAAGCAGTTGCAGCTACTGAGGAATGTGCATCAGTCTCTACTCTTTCTGACCAAAGCATCATGCAGGTGGTAAATTACGTGTTGGCACAACAGCAGGGACAGAAAATAGCTGAAGTGACACAAGCCATTGAAACTGTAGAAGTAGAAGTGGCCCATGTTACAACAACAGAGTCAATATAGTATAGGAGAGAGCAAGAAGAGTGAGGTTTTACAATCTGTGAGAGCCAAGTATTTAACTCGTCTGTGGGCTTTCCATAATGCCTGTTTTCAAAGTCAAAAATCCTCAGTACTGCATGTTGTGGTGATGAAATACTTCACCACGCGTTGCAGGGGAAAAGTTAAGATGTTCCAGTGTGGGCCAAAGGCTTTGAAAGCTAAGATTTCTGTCATGGCCATAACTGGAACAAAAAAAAAGTTTTTTTGTGTCATGGAGTAAGTACCATACTGTAACTTTTAAAAACTGAAAAGGAAAAAAAAAACATATAAAAAGGCTGCACTAAAAACCAGAGATGCACAGCTCTCAGTAGCATTTTTTTTTTTGTTTTAATGTGCATTTCATCAAATTTGTGAGCAAATGACCTGTATCGGATTGTGTCTGTTTACTCCCCAAGGTAAGGGGATGGTAGGATGCTTCATGCAGCGTGTGCTTCATGCAACATACAGAAAAACTCAGGCTGCAGATGCAGCATTGGCAGTTAGTCAATCCCAGTTTTGAAGAACTTGTTTAAATTCCAGGTCAGTGGGTGGCAGGGCCAAAACACTGTAAAATGTATTACAGATGATGGGCAGGAGCCCACTGAAGTGTGAGGAAGTGGTTCTCCAAGATGGATATGAATTTTAAGTTCACCAGATCACAGCCCACTGCAGGGAGACTGCTTTTTGTTGGTGAGGGAGGAGCTTACACTGCAGCCTCTGTGCACAGCCATGTTTAGTTCAATGATGTTTGGTTGCACAAAAGCAAACTATTGCCTGCACTGATGTGTGTACCCAGAGCAGGTAGCCTAATGATGGATGTTTCTAGTTTTGTTTTACATTTGATGTAGAAACTCTCAACTGAAAAAGGTCTCATGGAACACTTCTTTGGGAATATAAACATGCTGAACAAGTCCAGCTAGTTATGATCTGGTCTTCTCTTGTATCATGTTGGAAGGAGGAGCCCTGCTAATTTCCAAACAGAACACATAGCAATATCAGGATAGAAAACTATGAAAATCTTAGTATGGGGTAAAACTTAGATTTGTCTCAAAAGTACCAGAGAAGACCTTATTACTGCTGCTATAGGAAAATACTTCTAGGGCAAGCTAATTACCTGGTGCTACACCACAGAGGTGCAAAAATTCTTACTAGGTGTTTCTGAACGTAAGTAATGAATCACAGCCATGCTTGGCCCAAGTTTAAATGTCCCTGGTTTAGTATCACAAACTGCACACCTTAATCTGTGCACGGTGTGGGTTCTTTCATTGTTGGCTGTTTGGGTGGGTTTTTGAAGCAAAAATAATGTCTGTCAGAGTAGCTGAAAGTGCTTTGCACGTGAACAATCACAATTGTGTTCTTTAAATTGTTCTGAGCCTATAGTGTTGTCAAATATTTCCTAACTTTGAGAGCAGCAAGACACATCTAAGCAGCCAGAAACCTGTGATGTTGCAAGGTAAACTTCATAAATAAAATGACATACATAGAACTCTGTGTTACCTGTGAAACAGATCCACTGAACAAAATTTAAGCAAACCCTGTGGCAAAGTAACCACCTTATTTGAATTAGTATTTGTACCTTTAATCTTACTTAACAATTTGAGTATCTGTCTACTAAGCTACAGAATGGGCTGTTCTTTTTATACTTTGCAATTCTGCAGGTAAGCAGTTGCTGAAAATTTTTTAAGCATTATGTAGTTTGGAGTTCCTGTCTTGGATCCAGATGAATTTGTAGATGCCTGTTTCAAAGGTCAGGGTCTTCCTGCAGGGACGTAATGTCATTATTTATGCATCCTGCTGCACTTACAATGGGATTATTTTCCAATAACCAAATGGAGTAAAACTAAAATGAATACTGCTGGCTGTAACTTGAATTTTTGTATGGTCAGGAATCTGGAGATAGCCATCCTGCTTAAAGTTAAAATACTGCCATTATGATGGAAAAATATTTAAAAGAGCACTAGGTAAACTTTAAAATTTACTTCAGTGTTTGTATCTTACAAATAATTATGTATTACTAAAGTGAGGAAATGTTCAAGGAAAAATAGCTGTAAATAATGCTAGAACATTATTTGTATATTTAGTGTGTTAACCTTACAAAAAGAATATTACCAGCACCTTAGTGTAATCTTTGGTGCATTTATTTATTTGTCCAACCTATGGAAGAAGCAGAAATAAATCTAAATTTCGGAGCCTTCTTATCCACTGTAGTGAAAAATGCTTTAACTGACTAAAGATGATGGATGACCTAAGATGATTTAAGAACAGCAACCAACCGAACAAGTGACAGAAGGTTGTTTCCTAAACAAGATTAAGCCAGGAATGTCAAAGCTGAATGTTGTGGCACCCCTTTTCTAACATACTGTGCCTTACCTTTTCCGAGCAGCGTGAGGTAAGTAGGGAGTGTCACTCTTAGCTTTGTGTTCCTATATGTGTGGAGTTGCCTTATGTTTTTTCTTTAGACTTCAGCACTTAATTAAGATGTTCACTACCCTTCTGCAATCTATTTGAAGTCAGACTGCAAATATGCAGTTGATATTTGAATTTTTTTCTAAATAAAGTTCATGAGAAGTGTCCATTTATTAATGAATTCCTGTACATAGTGAATTTGATTTGTACATTCTGCTGGTTTTATTTAGTGTTAGGTGTATAAAGTTATGGTTATTTCTGTCATCAAATAAACTGAGCTTTGCCATGAATTACTCTTTTGAGCAACGTTTCTTTTTTGGGGAAGTGTTGCAGAATTATTTATTCTTCAGTATTTCACTGTCCGTATGTAGACAGATGTCTGGTCTGAATAGTTCTAATAGCACCTACTAATTTTTGCTCAAGGCTCAAAGAATTACCTTGTATGAGGAAGGTAATGACTTTGGATGACTC